TCAGGGCTCCTGCCTGCAGCCGGGCAGAGGGCGGGCTCGGGCAGCCTGCGGCCTGGGCTCAGTCCACGCATCTCGGGCACCATCACAGAACATTGCTCTGCCGGGGGGGGGGGGGTAGGTGAGAGATGAGGGGCGGGAGGGCAGGGAGAGTAGGGGTGGGCACGAGGGAGACAGAGAAGAGAAAGAGGTTAGTGACGTTGTCCTCCCGGGCAAGGCTTCCCGCCCAGCCCAGAAACTGGCCCACAGTAGGAACTCAGTAAATGATCGTAGAACTCAGGAGCATCCACTGTGGACCAGGCTGGGTGTCAGGTGCTGGGTATCCAGCGTTAAACAACGTGGACTTGATTTTTGCTCCAGGAACTTCAGTCTAGTGCAGAGGACAGAGGTGAAGGAAATACTCACACACAACCGTGATCAATGTCCCAGGGTGCAGCTTTGAGGAGGGGAGGACACCCAGGCTGTCCTTCTCTGCCCCGACCTCCACAGCTAGCTGGCTATTCTCTCCCTTTTATGGTGAAAGCATCCCCCTAACCCTCTCCCCAGTGTCCCAGCTCCTCTGTGGAGGTCCTTCACACCACGGCTGCCCTAACTCTCACACTCTCCCAAAGAACCAGCCACAGGCAGGCTATTCCTGAGAACTGGGTCCCCCACATCGATTTCCTCCTCCTTTCCTTATTCACATCCGCCACAGGCTCGGGAGCGTGTGTGCAATCAGACGCCTCACTGGCTCCCTTGACCCTGGTTTTCCTTTTCCACGCCAAGGAGGATGTGGCCGGATCTGCAGCTTGACAGACTCGTTCAATCAACACTGACTGAGGGCTTACCACGTGCCAGGCACTGGGCACACCAAGATGAGCTGGATTTAGTCCACATCCTCCTTGTGGGAGAAACAGGCAGAGCATGGATGTGACCTCACAACATGATGCACGATGATTGAGGTGAGCCTGAGTGTTATGTGAGCTCATAGGAGGGGCACCTGGGCCCACTTGGGGATGTTGGGGGTGGTGCTTTGCAGAGGAAACGACCTTTAGGCTGGGTTTAAACAGAGCTTGCTGGATGAGGAAAGGGAGAGGATTAAAGACAAAAGGAAGAGCATGTACAGACAGGATTTACAGAACCGGACGGAGTCAGAAAGAGTTCCCATATCCAGTCTGAGGTCTGGGGGACAGTCCTGACTTGAGAGAACTTGGCCTTACCACCTTCCCAGATCTCTACTACTGTCTCCCTCCCAGCCAAGAGGCCAACACCTGAATTCCCAGCCTCCTACCCACCCACATTCCAAGCCACGCCCCTCCTGACCACAAGTGGCACACATATGCCACCATGGCTCCAAAAAGTGCCATTTGCTCTACACTCTGGAAGGAGCCTGTGCTGGGCATCTTCCCAGAATGCTGCCCTCTAGACCCCGCCCCCGCCTTCCCTGATCTGGACTGCAGGTCAAATTGCGAATCACAAAAACAAAGAATATTAAAATGGGCAGGAATCCTAAAGGTTTAGCCGTATCATTTTACAGGTGAGGGGGGCTGAAGTCCAGAGAGGCAGAGAGACTTGCCCAGGGTCACACTACTGATAAAATGCAGAGCTGGGAGAGGGCTCAGGTTTCAAACCCCAACTCATAGTTTTTTTTCCCACAATACTGATCATGCTTCCTCTACCATGTGTAACAGAATCCACAGATGCCTCCTGAGCCCCCTCCTCATTGCACCAAGGAAGCTGGCGGAAAAGAAAAAGGCAGGATGATCTTAGTACATAAGTGATAAAGCCTGATGTGAACATTAAATAAACCCTGACTTCCCTGGAGAGTAGGCACTAAGGTATCTTCCTCATACGTCTCCTCCTGAATTTTCAGCATCTGGACTGGTCGTCCCAGCCCTGCCAGCACCACACCTAATGCCTCTGTGATGCTGGGCTGTGGGCGCTCAGGATGTGCCATTGAGCCCTAGATACTCAGCCACTAAAGGGGGCAAGGGCAGGGGAGGTAAAGGGTCCAGGGCAAGCTTGGTGGGGAGGAGTGGAGGAGAAAATACACTTCAAGTCCTGCCAGCAGTTGGGTGGGTCCCTCGAAAGAGTGATTCATATTCCTCACGTTGTCATTCTGTCTCAACTCTGCTTGATGGATTTTAAATTTATCCTCCATTCCTACGATGTTTAAATGTCTCTCCCTCACCACACACATGCACGCACCCCTCCCACTCCCTCCGCAGGCTTCAGCCCCGTCAGAAACCCAAGCAGTCTTGCGTTCTGTCGCCTGCAGCCTCCTTTTCCTTGGGGACCCTCCAGGGCAGGCCACCCTCCCAGCCATCACCAGGCCACCAGCACCTGGCTCCTTGCCTCCACTTCCAGGCCTACCCCTCCCTCTCCCTCTTTACTGGATTTCCCCTTCTCAGATACTTTTCCAATTTGAATCACATCCTTGCCAAAATTACAGCAGCAAAAATATGCACTGCAGCGCTCCCGCTGCAACGGAATCAATTTTACGAATATCAAAACATAAAATTATCTCATCTTTCCTTTAAGAATTCCTGTTAAACAACCCTTCTATTATTGATATAAATGTTCATCAAGAGAATCTGTCGCCCCCGCTGCCTGCCAAGCTGGCCAGTCCCTAGGTCTGCCTGTCATCAAACTGAGAGAAAGCCTTCCATCTCAGGTGACTGAGACGAGACGGAGTCTATGTCTTCCAGGGAAGGACACATGAATCTACTCTATACTGAGCTTCACCCCCAGCCCTCAAATCCTGGTGTTCCTTGAGTACCTTGAATTCAGGGGTTTTGTCTTCTCTTTCTATACCCAGCACCTGGTACTGAGTTCAACACACAGTAGGACGCTGTGGTGGTCACTGGTACTGTTGGCCAACTATTCTGGTTGTCCTCCTCCTGGAAGTGCAGAGTAGGACACACTTCCTGGCCCCCGTGGTTGAGCAGGGTCACGTGACCACGCTGGCCAGAGAGTTGCTTCAGGGCTAAGCATTTAATGCCAGTGCAAGATCTCAACGTCCAGATGGACAGGCCCACTTTTTCTGTAAAGGACCAGAGAGTAAATATTTCAGATGTCACAGGCCATGCAGCCTTTGTTGCAACTACTCAAATCCTGCTGTTGTAGCATGCCAGCAGCTAGACAGTATGTAAATGAGTGTGACTGTGTTCTGATAAAACTTTATTTATACACTTTTGTAAACTTTGCCCTTTCAACTGCGTCTCTTGGACACCATCACTGTCACTCAGTCTGTGCCCACGGGAGCAGGTTCTACAGAGCAACAGGCAAAAAAGAGGGTACAGGGAGCCACAAAGCAGAATCAAGGGTGGACACACCCAGGGAGAAGCTTCCCGAGGGCAAAGCTGCTGCCCGTGGTCCCACCCCCAGTCCCCAGGAGAAGGAAACAGGCCCAGCTGCTCTGAGATACTGGCCCAAGATTGAGCTCATGAAAGCTCCGAGGGCACCTGTCTTATTTCTCTAACTCTTGCTTTCCACTCACCTCTCTTCTTATTTGTTGCTTCATCTGGCTAATGCGCTGGGGGCCCTGAGAAGGAAGAGGACACATCTGCAACCCAACAGCTCCATTAAAAACTCCTCCCTGGCTTGTCAGGCCACATGGGGTAGCAGGATATGGTCTCTCCTTTCCACTCCTGTCCCAAGCACCCTGCACTACCAAAGATGCCTGAGCCAGTGATCACACTTCTGCCTGCCTCTGAAACCTTCTCCCCTCCCTCTTCCAGAGCCGAAGTTGAGATCTCCCTCCACAAAGGAATGTTATGCTCCTTGCACCATCTTTCCCTTTATATCCTATCAGGAGTTTGAATTTTACTCATCTGTTTTTGATTGTTTTAGAAATAATGGCTCATGCATCCTCTTGGCCTGTCAGTGCCTCTGAGGCCCAGCAGGTGAGTCCGCCATGGTGAAGACATGCATCTTCCTCTCTTTGGGTTCATGCCAAGCCCACTCCTATCCCTCACTTTCTGACTC